GGCAAGGACAGAGAGAGCTTCTGTTGGAGCCTTTGCACTGAATATCTAGTGACCAAAATAGGAATAAATCAGTTGCTCATCTGTTGTACCTCTTGGGATAAGAAGAAAGGATTTGTTCTGTGTAGACATATCAAAAGAAAAGAGTCAGGGAAGAAATGAATGATGATTTTTCACAGTGTAGTGAGATTGTCAGCACAGTTCCACTGGGGTATGAGCCTTGTGTTGCTCAGCATACACATAAAGAATCCTGGAAAAAAAGGGGGATGAAGAAACCAGCTGATATTTCAAGTTGATTTAATGTAGTGAGAGCTAAAAGTGACAGGAAGGAAAGTGTTACAGAAGCCCAGGTGAAGTACTATGACAGTAAATGTCATGTAAAATATAATGTCTAATGCATGCAAACTGATGTACTTGGGGCAAAATGCTGCTCTCTGTCAAAGCCCTGGCAGCCACTGATCTGTCAGAGTGTGTCAGGGGAGTGCTCAGCAGCTGGCAGGGAAAACAAGACAAATGTTGGAAATTATGAGGAAAGGAAGAGATAAAACTAAATCACTGAGAAGTGCTTTAACTGATGGGGCTTTTTACAGGTGGGAAGGAGAAGTGGAGGGGTTTGATTTGCTGGATCTCCACTGCAAAGAGGCCAGAGGAGGGAGAGCAAGTGGCTGTTTACGAGTCACTCTCCCTGGTGCCAGAGCAGGGAAGCAGCAGGAAGTGCATTTCCACACAATTATAATTAACCAGTGGAAGTCATTGCCACGGGATGTTATGGGAGCCAAAAGTGTAAAGGGAGTTCAAAAAGGGATTATCCAAATTAATGGAAGAGAGTCCCTTCAGAGGTTATTAAATAATGATTCTGGCTCCAGCTCTGGTTGAGCTGTCTCTGTGCTGATTGCCAAAGCCAGGGGGGCAAGAAGGGGATGGGGGTCCTGCTTTTCCTGGGCTGAGCACCTGCTCTCAGAGGTGCCATTCAGAGATGGTGTTGGGAGAGATGAAGCTTGGATATGACCTGGCTGTCCATTTTCTTCTCAGATTCCTGCTCCTGGTGTAATACAGAATGAGCTCTGTTCAGATTTAATCCTGCAGCATGTTACCTTTCCTCTTTTCACTCCATTATCTGCCAGCCCACTAAAAATTATTTACCATTTGGTAAATAAATAAATAAATTTGGTAAATAATTTTTACAGCTTTTTGCTGAGTTCACTGCAAGTTTCTCTGGTTTATGTTTTCTAGAAGTGGATAAAAACCACTATTTGCTTACTTCATCAACTCTTGTAATGGGTTTGCTGGGAATTGCCATTTGAACCTCTTTTGCAAGTTAAGGGCTGTATTTGGCACTAACTCATTAGTTATTTTGGGTATGTTCTGTAAATTTTCTGCCCATGAACTAGGAAGTTGTTTTCCATTTTCTCTATGAGTTTCAAGTATTGAAACCTCTGTATTGAGTTACATTTATAGTCATAAATGAGTTTTTTGAGTATTTAATCATATTTATAAATGGGAAAGAAAACATTTAACTTGTCATTCTTCTACTTTACAAGTCCATTGCCATCCATAACACAACAAGAACATGCTGGTTTGCATTAGGTGTCTTTTAAAATGTTAGGAATTCACCATAAGAAATGAAATCCTGAGAAGGAGGGCCAGTTTTAACCAAACTTCTTGTTCTGACATCAGTTTCCAGGAGACAGACAACGCGTGGCACGGGGGGTGCCTGGCCCTGGCTGAGCTGGGCAGGAGAGGATTGCTGCTCCCCTCCCGCATCCCAGATGGTGAGTTGGCCTGCCTGAGTGTCAGTCCATGAAATAATTTACATTATTAGGCACCAGTGTGTGGCAATAGGCTGGGATTTGCTGATGTGTGTGCTGGGTGATGACTGAACTACTGAGTTCTACAGTAAAACATTTGCCCATGGGGATATTTAAGTACTTCTGTCTAAAGCATTGGCTTGGGTGTGCCTTTTTTTATACTTAATAAATATTTCTTTCCAAAATGGAATTAATTTCTTGAGGTTTTCTTCTTTCTTCTTCCCTCCCATGTTTCTTTGTACACTTGTATAAAACAATTCTGCATGTCTCCATATTGTGTCAGTGTCATTATTTAAGCAAAATATATTAAATAATTGATGACTAACTTGCACTTTAAAGCCAGTAGCTTCTGCTGTTTGTTTATGGTTAAATTTCAAAGGACAGTTTCATGTAATTTATACATGAACTGTTTATGTTTTAAATGGGTTTTTGAAATAGCAGGATGGAAAGAAAAAGAACAGGGCAGAGGAATTGTTTCTTTGTGTGTTCTGTAGTTATCAACATGCATTGAATTACAGAGATATTAATGTAATTTTGGTTAATGCTATACACAGTGGGAATGACAAAAGCACAGTAGCAGGTGACATCCACCCTTGGGTGCTTTTACAGCAGTGCCTTGTTCTAGATGGTTCTTTGGATCCCATCTGGTGCTCCTGTGTTGAACAGGGAAATTGAACACTAAATTTAAAAAATATTTCAAAGCTGGTGTTTCATATTAGTAAGTCAGGGTGCTAAATCTTTAATAGTTTGAAGATGTGCTGTAAAATGTGGCATTTAATGCAGTTTATTACTCTCTCTCCATGGAAGGAGTTCTGTCCATTCTAGCATGTGCTGCATGTGAGAAAGTTTGTGCAGTGAGCCTTCAGCTGCTTTCCCTTTCTTTCATTACTTTTGCCCTTGCATGGCAAAGGTGAAACAGTTAAAAACTTTCCAGTTTACAGCTGGAGAATCATGAAAGGAAAATTCTCCAAAGGTAAATCTGTACTTCAGTTCTGACAAAACCAGAACTGTACCTCTGTCAGGGAATCTGGATGACCTCATGATATAGATTTTTATTTATTTTGAAGAAGGCAGATCAGATCACCATTGGAGTTGGCTTTTATAAATAATATTTGTATGGAGATGGGGGAGAATTAATCCTTGATTTCTATGGAAGACACACTGAAAAGTTTTTCTTCAATCACTTTAAAGAAATTCAAATTACCAAGTAAAGAGATACATGAGATATTTTTTAAAATTGTGGATAATAGTAACTGAAGCTTTCTGCTCTCAGAGATGATTGAGGCACATAGCTTCAGGTATAGTGTGAAGAGTGGCAGTGGTGACACATGACTCTGTAATTTCATGTTTAGAAATGAGGGATTTAGCACATCTGACCCTAGGATTGAAGCTTTAATCTTGGACTGGAAAGCAGCTCTTCTCCTTGTTTGATCACGTGCTGCTGTACAGCTCAGTGCCTCACACTGACTTGTGCCCTGCTGTTGGCATTTCAGTTCATTTGGCTTCTTCTGTTACTGCATTGCCTTTTTTCAAACTCACATTGAGATTTTTGCCTTTTGATAATGTGAGAGAAGCTTTTCTCTATGAAGGATTAAAGATCAATATATCTCTTTTTGTCCCTTACCTCAGAAACTGAAGTTCTGTTATTTACTATTTAATTACTAAACTTGTTACAATGCTTTGTCTGAGTTGTTGGCTCAAAGCAGCACAGCACAAAACATGAGTTCAAAAAATTCTGGGAATTCTGCATTATGTTGGATGCAGCTCCACTTCCTTAAGTAGGTTTGCACCTATTAGTGGTGTTCAGGCAGGTGAGGATTCTCCTCACCTGAATAATGATCAATGAGAAATTGAAATATACCTGTGGTTTTATGGGAATAATGCTTGCTCTGGGTTTGTTCTCCTTACACTGTGCAAATTTACACAGGGATCAATCAGCCTTATTTTAGTTGAACTTTTGCAGCAGTTTGGACAAGCTGGACAGCAGCTTTAAGGCAGAGAGAATTCTGAGCTTCATTATTTGGAATTAAAAGTAAGGATGAATTAACCTGTGTAGTGAATTTCTGTCAATGAAGAAAGCTCCTTTTCTTTGGAATTGGTCTGGTCCCAAAATTCTGCTTGCCAATTGAAAATTTAACTAGCAACTTCTTGCTAGCTGTTCTTCAATATAGATAGTGTAGTAAATGTATTTGTGTTCATTAATGACTTTCCATATATTGTAAGTACAGATCACAAGATTTATTTGAAAAATTGCCAGTTTATATACACAGATATAGAAATAGGAAATAGTTTTATGGCTGTATGTAGAAGGACACAGAAACTGATAGTGAGTGATAACACATGTACTGAAACAAGACCTTCACCAGGAAAGTTGGCTTCAGGTGAATAAATTATATAAATAACATTTTAGGCCTGGAGTTTGAAGGCTGCCCAGTGTCTGTCTAACCTCAGCAAAGCAGGCACCTGGATTGCTTAGTTCTTCATATTTTCAGTGTTGTTTACATAGCCATTTACTTAAAGTTGAACATAAACTGCATTTATTAAACCTGTGCAGGCTTTCTTTGGTTTGACTTGAATCTTGGTCCTAGTCAGTGCAAGAAGAGGTTGCCCACACAGGGTTTGGGGCAGTTTATTTAAAGTGGCCTCTGCCTCTGAGTAACTAAATTTGGTTTGTTCTGTCTTAGGGCAGAATGGCAAAGTGCATCCATACACAGAGCAGTTTTTACAGTATATTCTAAAAAGCCAGTTTTAATCTTAAGCTTGTTTAAACTACTGCACAGTGACATAAAAAGGTTTTCAAAGGAAAAAAAAGACCCAAAAACCCCCCTATTAGATGAAGTTAAGGCTGGCAAAAGACTATGACAGTATGTTATTGAGCAATATTGTTCCTAGAGCTTAAACGTCTTTTAAGAAAAGAAGTTGTAAAAGTTATTTTACATCATACAATTGCAAAAACCCCTTGAAGATTCGTCTAATTTACTTTGGCTTTAGTAACGAATGCAAAAATTCACTCATCAAAACCTGAGCTTGTACAAGGCAAAGTTCAATTACTTAAAAATATTAATATAAAATTATGAACATTATTTACAATGGAGAGATTGAATGTATCTTGTCATGGGCCAAGCCCAATGAATGAGGGTTTGTAGAAATTTCACAATGATGCTGATAACCAGAAACTCACTGAAAGGAGGAGAATTAGGACACTCTTGTTCTCTTCCTTAAAGTGAACACTCTGCTGCAGTCATTGGGCCTGACCCTCTTAGCACCTTGCTGGGATTTCGCAGATTCTTTTTGGTTTGTCCTTTTCTGTCCTTTGCCCTTTGGGCTGCACTGAGTATCCTGAGCATCGGGAGCGGGCTCCGCGGGCGCGCCGTGCCCGTCCTGCGCGCCGTGCCCGTCGCCGTCCAGCCGGGCCGTGCCGGGGCTGTAGGCAGCCAGCTGGCACAGAGCCACGGCTGCTGTCTGCTTCTGCTCGTCACAGCTCTCCATGAGCCCCAAGTCTGCAGCCTCACCACGCTGGGCTGCGAAGGGTTTGTCACAGGCACTGCTGCTGGGGGTCTTGGGGACGCACGGCTCCGCTGCGGAGCTCTCCTTCTCGGCGCTCGGAGGAGCGGCGGCGGCGTTGCTGTTGTCGTGGGATGGGCTGTGGAAGGACGTTTTCAGGCTGGCTGTGTTACAGGAATCCTTCACTGAGAGGTTCAGGGGCATGTCCTGCATTTCCAGGAAGCTCTGCCTGTCTGTTTTGGATGGGGTTTTGTACGTGTGCTCGTGAGTAGGTCCTGTGCTTGTGTCGGGCTTTTTGGAAAGATTGAGAGGACCTATCCCTGTGTCTTCCTCCGTGTTGGACAGCGAGCCCGTGTTGTTCTGACCATCAGTCTGTGTGTGTGAGTCTTCATCAGTGACATTGATGCTGAAAGAAACAGAGAGAAAAGAGAATTTACTATCAATTGCTCTTTTAAACTGGGGCTGAGGAAGTGGACAAGAAGAGGAAAAAATCTGGACTTCTAGGCTAGAAGTTTGACAATTCTGTTGTTTCTCCTTTAAATCCCCAAATCCCTTTCACCATACCCGTCACTGTAATGGAAGCAATTCCCTGAAGTACTGAAACACATTGGAAGTACACAAACACAGTGGAAATTGCTGGTACATTTAAGGAGAATGAATGGTCTGCTCACTGTACCACCTGTGTGCTTTGCACAGTTAGTACAGAACACATTAACTGCTGTAAATCTAAATATAACAGGCATTGCATGAAATGTGCCCATCTGTCTTTGTGTGTCCCTGGTAAACCTGACAAGAATTTGCAAAGTGTTATTTTACCTGTTGGGTGAATCCCCTCTCTCCTGCTGCGCCTGCACGCCTTGAAGGGAAGGCGCTTGGTCCGTGCTTTTTCTCACAGGTCTGAAGGCTGTGAAGTTTTCTTCTGATTGGTCATACTTGCCCAGGGATGTGGAGGATGACTTGTTGGAGAGGTCAAACAAACCCTCACACGTGTGGCTTGTCTGGGTGAAGTTGGTGGGGCTGGGTCTGCCAGGGGAGCCTGTTGCTGCACTTCCTGCAAGAGGGCTCATTTTGGCATTCTCTCTTTCATTTTGGTCATCCTTAGCGTTACCTTTGGCGTGCAATAACGTCATTTCTTTTTCATAATCTGCTTGTTTTTTATGTGAGCTTAGAGGGTATTGTTGGGACGGACTTAAAGAAGCTGGGTACAGCAAGGTGGTTTCTTCCATCAGGTGGGAGTTTTGCTCCCTGTTGATACCAGCTACGTGTGAAAATCTGTAAAATGGAGGATCTGTTGGCCTACAAAATCCATATGGTATCGGTGGAGTGGAGTGGTACTGCTGGAACAATCGATAGTGTTCATATGCTGATGGATTTAGGGGTTTTGGAAGTGGCCCAGGGTGGGGAAGAAAGTGTCTTTGATCTTGTGTTCCATAGACAGAGAGAGCAGAGCTTTCACACTCTGTGCTGCCTGGGAGCAGGTAAGGTGTGTAGATAGCAAGCCGGTGCTCATAGAAGTGGGGTGAGTACTCGGGAATCATTGGTTGCATGTAAGGTGAAATGGAACCAAAGCCTTTCGTGGGAGCAACTTTATGTGGAAACTCTGGGAGGAAAGAACCTGCCTTCCACGGGTGAGCTGGTGCGTGAAACGCAGACTTGGTGTGAAAAGGAGAACTTTTGTTAGAGAGGGAGAGGATTTCAGATGCCTCAGTGATTTCTGGGCCTTTGCTGTCTCGGTGCTCTCCGACGGGAACGAAGGCCGAGGGCCTGACCATGCCCTCCATCAGGGGCTGCACGCTGATGGCACCTTCTGCTGCAGAGCTGGCAGGGCTCAGTTCCTTCGGAATGGCAGGTTTCTGTCCTGGAATTGCGGCGTTTGTGGCCTGGTTTTGTAACTCAACGTTTTCCTTGGCATCTTCTTTTGTAAAAGGGTATTGAGGCTTTGAATCGAGGCTTGACAGTCCGTTTGTGAGAGATTTAGAAGAAGTTGGTTTGACCGTAGATTCCAGCTGGTTGATCTGTTTGGGCTCCAGGGAACTGCCCTTTGGACACTTGATGACACGATCCTGCTCCGACACCAAAGTGATGGAGTTTTTGCAGAGGCCATACTTCATGTGGTTAAAGAGATGGGATTTCTCATTGCACGTGAAGGGGCACTGGAAGCACTTGTACTTGAACGGCTTTCCCGGTGGTCTTGGGATGTAATGAGGCTTCTTGGGTTTACGTTCTTTGAGGAGACTCATTTTTTTTTCTGCTTTAGACAATTAAATGTAATGGTTCTTTATAAAAACTTTCTTGTGGTTGGCTTCCCTCAGTTTTAGCCTCGTGATGTTTCCGGTTTTTCAGGTTTCTAGAATCCTTCTTCCCAGGTGAGGAGAAGCAGCCAGCTCCTGTGGTGTCTCGGGGAAGAGGGTGCCGGAAAACAAGGCTTTTGCCACTGGTAGTGCAGGAACTGAAACACAAAGTTTAAAATGAATTATAGTGGAACATTTGAACTAAACACAAAGTAGTGCCTTGTCTTGAGAGCATTCCCCCTCATACTGCATATCTTGTGTTATTTGGGTATTTTAAAACAGAATAAAAAAGCTGGAAGTCAGGCTGGAGTCAGATGGGCATTGACCTTTGGCATCCTCCCTCACCCAAACACAGTCACACAAGTGGCCTAATTTCCAGCAGCAGCCCTTGTCACCTGCCTGTGCTGCCGGCTCGGGGGAGTTCTCTTTGAAAGCTGGAGGAACATTCATTGAGAAGATGAAAGTAGAAATCCAGGCGGAGCTGTTGAGAGAGGAGTGGAGTGGGTGGGATGGGAAGAGGCAGGTCCCGGCAGGGGCTGGATGTGGGGCGAGCCTGTCGGGCCGGTCCGGGAGAGCGAGGAGGGAATTTCCTGCTGTGGTGACACAAGGGTGGGGTGGATGGGTCGCTCTTGGGCGGCTGACTGGGCTCTTTCTGACACTGACCAGCCCCTCTCTTCACTGGTGTGGCGTTTCCCAACAGCCCAATCTCAATGGATACCTCAAAAGTGCCCAATCTCTCGAAGGATAAAACCACACCGATTTTCTTCCTCTTCCTAATTCAATTAAGAGAAATGAGCGCTGCAGTGTCTGACTAGTAGAATCCTGATAAACACATCTCCCATCCTCCTGCTGGGTCGCTCCTCACAGACTGCACACAGTTAACACGGGCACCCCGGTGTATTAACTCGGGGGGAAAAGTGTCTGACAGTCATTGATTTATAGGGGAAGGATCTATCTGCCTTTCTGTGGAAAAACGGAGGTTGTGGATACTTTATCCAGCCCAGTGATTCGCCGGGTAGATAAGTCGGGAGGGCTTGTACCGGCTTGTTCCATTATGTTCACTGATTCTGAAGGCGTGAGAAACTCTCGGAGTCAAGTTCTCATGATTTTATAGGATGTGTTATGGCAGAGATCTAAAAACTGATGATTTCATCATGAACTACAAGCATCATTATCAAAATGATGACTGTTGCAAAACCACGTACTGTATCTATTGTGTTACCCGAAACTACAGGAATACTAATTGGAAGAGTGACGAGATAGCTCCATTTTTTTTTTAAAAAAAAAGCTTTTTAAGCTTTTTTAGAAGTTTGAATTAGTAGTATTAAAATACTAAGTTCATGAAAAGAATTGCTGGTAATTATGTGCCGTGAGATTTTAGTTCAAGTAGATGTTTTGCATTTCTTAAATCAGAGATTGTTTAACAGAAAATGACAGGCAACACATGATGAAAACTGAAGGGAAAGCTACAGAATTGCTGCTTGGCTCATCAGGTATAGTAATTCTAGCAAATTGTATTAAATGTTTTTTCTGATGTCATAGAAGTATTAATTTTGTTAAAATAGTTATTGTGAAGGCACCCTTAAAAATGCAAAGCTGCTCTGCGAGTAGAAAAAAAAAATCAAGCTTTTTCCTAAAATTAACAAGTGATTAAATGTGCTTCAGATTAATGAAAAAGGAATTTCTAGAGAAGTAGCTTTTTGTTTTTCAGATTTTAATGAGGTTGTTTGAGTTGGATACTGATACTGTAAGAGCAACAAGGGAATATACATTAGCATGTTCAAGTCTCATCATTGGAGTATGGCTGAAATGGTAGTCCATAAATTTTAAAAAAATAATATATTGTATTTTAAAATATTTTAAATAACATTAGCTAGAAATCCTTTGAAATATTAAAAATAATATTTTTACATTTAAAAATAAGTGAATTAAATACTGAGACAGAGGAGGAGAGGTTGAGATAGGGAACTGGACTCTTTCTTCTGCCTTAAGTGAGCTTGTTGCACTTATTTTTAACTAATGATGTGTAACCAGCATGGAAAGTTTGTCATGGACTCGGTCAAGTCAGTTTGTACCTGTTATTCTTTATATCTTCTTGGAAGTGCTTGTACTAATTATTCTTGAAAAAAGAGATTGTTGTCAAAACTCCATTGCTTTCTTAGGTGAAGCATTTATGATAAGGTCCGAATCTGCATTCAGGTGCAGCATTTATAATAAAGGGATGGTAATTAGATTTCCTTGTTCTTCCAGCTTTCCTTTGCTTCATAATGAAAATTCCTGTGTGTCCTGTCCTCCCCCCTCTGACTTTGTACTTGGTATTTAACTTTGATTCAAGTTATTCCTGTTGGGCAGAGTATTAACTATCATTTCTTAACAAGATAAAATGCGTTGTTGCAGTTTTAATGTTAGAAATTTCAAGCCTTGGAGCTCCTCTGCCGTGGGTACAGCAGGAGAGCATTCCAACAGCTTTTTACTTCTTTCTATTTAATTTGTTTTGATGGCTCCAGAACCTGCTGCTCTGACTTGGGAGGTGCAGAGAGCAGCTCATTTTAAAGGGTGTTTACCTTTCTTAAACTTAGGTCAGTGCCAGCCAGGTGAATGTTTTCTTTCTCTCTTTTACTATTTAATCCCTTTTTTTTTCTCATGGTTTAAAAGTGCCAGTAATAAAATATTTCTAAAGCTAGACAGGTAGGATAATTCTTCCTCTGGTCCCTAATTCACAAGAGTGTCTGGCAGAGAGACATATTTTAGTATTAAAAAACATTAAAACTATTTGATCACACAGTCAAAAAGGACATTAATAGTTTAAAATAGGTGTAACCAATTAAAACTGTCCCTATATAAAAAATGTTACTTACAGCTGTACAATCTATGTTTTGTGCTGCCAAAGTTAGAATTTTGTACTGGAAAGAAAATATCAAAATAAGTAGTTGCTTTTTCCTTTAACTTCCATGCCATCACTTGTGATATCTTTTAAAAATGGGGGAAAAAATCTTCAACAGCAGGATAATTTTTACATAAATTTTTTTTCTTAGATTGAAAATATTTCCTGTAGACCAGCTTGTAGAAATGCAGATGGTTCTATATTATTATAATTCTCTAGTTTTGAAATGCAGTAGTGTTCTTTATTTATATTTTTATTGAAAACAAGTTATTCAGATAATCTTGATTAAACTTGAGGTTATCTTAGTTGTTTGTTTTTGGCACTAGTAACCTCCCCATGGCTTTCGAACCTGTCACCCTTTCCAGCCTGACACTGACTGCTCCAAGTTTCCTTCCTTCTGTTTTTAAAAGCAGCTTGTTGCTCCCTCCTTGCCTTTAACCTGTTGGCAGGTTCAGAAAACAGGAATGTAGTTGAACATTGTGTGTAAATATATAAACAAAAAATGTCCGTGGGGATAAGTGTATACACACACATGCACATGTGTATTCATACACACACACAGATATGTGCATATATATCTGTCCAGGTTGGTTTTTTTTTAGGGTTTTAAGTAGTTTAAATTGTTTAAGATGCCCAGTTGATCAAAGAGGAAATTTCAAAATGTCTTTTATTACAAGCAGGGACAGTAATTACATTTCTTTTTAGGACACTGCTTCAGCAAAGTACGTAACAGCTGCTCATGCCCACCCCATTATTATTGCAGGCTCCTTCTGGTGATGTGGATCTCTGACCAGGAGGACTCACTGGGGTGGAACATTTTGAAGGACATGCTATAATTAAAATATTGTGATGTGGCATTATTGCATAACCCAAGGACATGCCATTGTCACCTACCCAGGGTGTTGCAAGAACAAGATTTGTGAGTTTTATTCTAGCTGAGATTTTTCCAGCGATTAACCACCCCTCCCTTCTAAACTTCCAGGTCCTTGAAACTGAAAGATAAATTTTAACACAACTGATTGTTAATTAGGAGGAAGCAGGGGTGAGAAGGGTGGGCTGGGAGGGCAGTGTGTGTGTGAGGTGCAGACCCACGGGAACTGCTCTGTGTGTGTGTCTGTGCAAGAGGAAGCTCCGAAACACAGATTAAACGACTTGCTTAGGCAGCGTGGATAGGAAATAAAAATCTCTCTACATACCAAGTTAATAAATCAATGTCTTAATACACTCTAATTGACTAGAAAATAGAAAATTATCTGATTTTCTGCTACATTTCCAGAAGCTGGAAAAATTAATAAATCAAAGCTGGAGCACATTATTTTCATAAAAGCTTTTCAGATGAACCTGACACGACTGTAGGAAGCAGAGCTGGCACAGCAAACACAGCAATTCTAAGCAATACAGCTTTTTTGTCATACTTCAATATATTATCTCCCCAAATAAAAAAGAATAAATAAAAGGTGCCGAAAACCCTTTGCACCAACAAGAAGAGTTAATTATTGTAAAAACTTGCAAGACTCAGATTTTCTCTCCGGCTGAAATATTCCCCACTCCTGTTGAAACTTTCTGCTGAAAGCTGAGACTGGTGCCGTGAGTGCACCTGCTGGAGTAACCCTGGCTGCTGGGACAGCTGGGAACTGAGCACCTCCGATTTCCTCCTTAACAGCAGCAGGTTTTATTGAAAGAAATGCTGTAAAGCAATGTACTCACCGGGCACTGGGGTGTCCGAGAGCCGCCGGGCGGGCGCTGCGCTGGAGCTGTCACTGCTGCGAGAGCAGTACCTGTTCTCTGCCTGAGCCCTGAGTGAAACTGCAGGAGGCTGTTCCAGGGGAGGGACCTGAGCGTGTAGGAGTTGAGCCCTCGGGGTGTAGAGATGCACCTGATATTACTCCAGCCTGCAGCTACGATTCATTTGTTTGCGTCCACCGCGCTCATTGAGCATTACCTCAGCATCTCCTATCGAAGGGAAGGCAGCTCCCGTCGCTCCGTGCCCTCCAACAACCAAGTTTTGCTCTCAGCTCTGGTGCTGTTCCTTTGGCAGTGTGGGGTCAGAAGTGGCTGAGTTAGCACTGAGGATATTTTAAGTTTTGTGCAAGTGACTCGTGGGCAGCAGAACTGACTGTACGCAG